TTACAAACATCTGGCCAACTCTGTGGGTACAGGTGGATTTACACAAAATGCAAGGATAATGGATTACACGTCAAGAAAGAAGATGTACGCTTAATTCTAAAAGAACTTGACCCAAGGGGTGTTGAATTCAGAGGAAGGAGACGTCCCCATCGCCAATGCTACTTTGCAAAAGGGCCCAATTATAGAAGAATAGAATAGTCTTTATTGTCATTATGTTTGGTTAAAACAACGAAATTGGGGAAGGCTTCTCTGCAGGTGTATCACAGATACATACATACAAACATTACTCTGCTGTAATGGTTACTTAAAGAAACAACAAAACAAAACAAAAACAACAAGCAGTGATCAGCACTACAACAACAACAGCAGCAGCAAGAAATTTCCTTTAAATATTAATAATATTAAGATTTAGTGCGTGTGTGAGCTCAGTCTGATGATGGCTTGGGGAAAGAAGCTGTCTCTCAGCCTGTTGTCCGGGTTCTGATGGACCTGTAACGCCTGCCTGATGGAAACAGTTTAAAGAAATTATGTGCGGGGTGGGATACATCCAGAGTAATCCGTTCTGCCCTGCTGAGGCATCGAGAGGTGTAGATGTCCTTCAGGGAGGGTAGGGGCCAGCCAATAATCCTCTGGGCCGTCTTCACCACTCCCTGTAGCCTCCTCTGTTCTGCCTCAGTACAGAGAGTGAACCACACCGAGATGAAGTAGGTGAGTATGCTCTCAATGGAGCAGCGTGTCAAGAAAGGTTGAGCTCAGTATCCAAAGGTCATAAACCGAGTGTATCATAGCAGGCTATAAAAATATAGTTCCGCATTTTGGCTAAAAGAAAGGGGAACATGTGTCAAAATGTGTTACAAAAACATGTTGAGACATGTCTCTGATCCAGGGAAGTTCAACAGGTCAAAAAGTGTTTTATAAAACACAAGATTAGGGGAAAGAATAGTGATTTATATAATGAAGCATATTAAGAATGTGTGATTTCTTGAAATAAAATCATTTATACTTTTTGAATATATCTGCAGGTAGGTAGCAAGATAGGGAAAGCTTCTGAATAAGACTAAAAGAATGATCCTCTGACTTGAAGTGGTTGATATAAGTCAGATGCTAAAATCAATGAGTTTAGAAATGTTGTGATTAACATTATGAT